GTGTTTTTTCGACCACCTCCAAATGACCTCAACTTTTGCACACATGATCTATTGCACAAACAAAGGTGGGTTCCAAAGGTTTTATATTTTTTTGAATTTTTTATTAATTTATAATTCCCTCTAGACTGACTGGTCAAAACATCGGTCTATACCTCAGGGGGGCATTGTAAAAAATTCTTTTTCCAAATTTTCTTTCATAGCCATGATTGGCACATGTGGGTCACCATGTTCAAGAAAGTTTGTGTGATTTGGAGGTGGTGGGAAAAATCACATTTTTTCAAGAACATTTGGGTCACAATTTTTGAATTTTATGAAATGAAGGAATATGTGCTCAGTTATTGGAATATTTGATCATATGGTGGAGTATTTGCTATTTTTGCTTACTCAAATGAAGGAAAGATGTCATATGTGTCGATGAACAATTTCCACTTACTGCACTAAAAAACATTAATTTACTTAACCCAAAGTTTTACATTTGGTCAATTTTGCTTATGGGCAGAGCATGTTGCACATGGCCACAGCCTGGGAATTTATTGCACCATTGCCACAGCATGTTCCACATGGCCGCAGCATGGGAAGTGTTTGCAGCATGCCTGATCAGTGAAGCAACACTGATGCAGTATGTCTGATCATTGCAGCAGCTAAATTGAAGCAAATCATACATCTAAGGAACCATAATGGCAAATTTAAGGGACACAAATATAGATAGAAATATATACTACTGCCATAGATAGCAGCATCCACACAGCACACTTGCTGATGCAGACCACTACCATATTAGATATGTTTCGACCGCACATCACAGTACTGCACTTAGATAGAGTTCATACTAAATTACCACCACAAGTTTCCACCATCAGAATACCACACAAAGTTCACCAAAAGGACTGAGCCTTCCTACATCATACGACAACGAGGGTCTAGGGCAACTACACGTCAGGGTTTCAGGACCTTGTGGAGGGCAGAATGCTGAGCCCTGATCTTGTAGTCATGACTGCTGATGGATGTAGCCCGACAATGCTCCATCAGATGCTCCAGCAACCCAGACCTGGGCTTGGGCCTGCTGCAGTAGGGGCACCGGTACTTGTCAGACCTCCAGTTGTAGTACCTAGCAGCTCCTTGGGCCCTGATCTTCAGCACCTCCTTCTCTTCAAAGGACTCGACATTCCCCTCGACCACATCATCTCCAGATTGATACTGCACACATTAATGACTGACATTAATACATTATGCATTCAAATACTATAAACATCTAACACTAAGTCAACGCACAAATAACATTTCAGCTAGGCCTTACCTCGTACGGCTCATCCTCATCACTGTCATAAGGGTAGTAGCCAGATGAGTCCCACTTCCTCTTCTGGCCAACAAGATCCTCCTTCTGCTATATTGTCAACCAAGCAAGTCATTTACAAGGAATATAATTGCACTTCAAATAATGTCATGCTAAACAAGTTGATTTTGCATAATGATGGAAAGCTCCTAACTATATTTCATACACTATATATGAAGCTATATACATACTAAACAATTAGCTTATGAAAATACAAGTTCATTCATATGGACATAGAATTTCAGTTTTTGCTTTTGAACATGCATAACTCCTACATCTAATTAAAATACCTTAACTCCAGCATCTAATTAAAAAACACTAACTCCTAGATCCACTGGAACATTGAATCACAAAATTTACGTACATATATCATTGGATATAAATGAATCCACTACAAATAACACTAACTAATACATCTAATTAAAATATCATAACTCTTACTTCTACTACATCATTCAGTCACACCATTTAATTACATTTATCTCTGCCTATAAATGAATCCAATACAATAGAAACCTAACTAAACATCTAACTAAGAAACACTAACTAGTACATCTACTACATCATTCAATCACAGAATCTATATAACTGTCTATAAATGAATAATACAAATAACCCTAAACTAACCAACTAATTAAAAAACATAACTACTACATCTACTGGATTATTCAATCATACATCCTACATATAACTGGCTATAAATGAATCCAATACAAGAAAACCCTAAGTAAACATCTAATTAAAAAACCCTAACTACTACATCTACTAGATGATTCAATCACAGATTCTGTATATATATGTCTATAATTGAATCTAATACAAATAAACCTTAAAAACCATAACTACTACATCTAGTGGATGTGATTCAATCACAAATTCTACTTATCAGTGGCTCTAATTGAATCCAGTACAAAAAATTCCCAACTAAACATGTAATTAAAAAACCCTAACTACTACATCTACTGGATGTGATTTATTCACACATTCTACATATCAGAGGCTATAAATGAATCCAATACAAATAAACTCTAACTAAACATCTAATTAAGAAACCCTAACTAGTACATCTACTGGATGTGATTCAATCACAGATACAACATATCTGTGGCTCTAATTGAATCCAATACAAAAAATCCCCAACTTAACATCTCATTAAAAAACCCTAACTACTTGATCTACACAATGTTCAATCACAGAATCAACTAAACATCTAATTAAGAAATCCTAACTTGTACATCTACTGGATGCGATTCAATCACAGATACAACATATCTGTGGCTCTAATTGAATCCAATACAAAAAATCCCCAACTTAACATCTCGTTAAAAAACCCTAACTACTTGGTCTACTGGATGATTCGATCACAGAATCAACTAAACATCTAATTAAGAAACCCTAACTAGTACATCTACTGCATGTGATTCAATCACAGATACAACATATCTGTGGCTCTAATTGAATCCAATACAAAAAATCCCCAACTTAACATCTCATTAAAAAACCCTAACTACTTGATCTACTGGATGATTCAATCACAGAATCGAAACTTAACCTTCACTATAAATCAATCAAACATCTATAAACCCTAACTATCAGAAGGGGATGCAGCAACTAGCAACTACAAAAAACACTAACACCCAAAACTACTGCTTAACGGGGGTAACAACATCAGAGGGGACTGCTGGCAAGGATTACCTGCAGGTCCACGTGCTCGCCGCCGGCCTCCGCAGGTCCATCAGACGGGCCGCTCGACGCCGTCACGCCAAGCACCGGCATGGCTGAGTCCGCCACGGCGGAGTCCGCCACGGCCACCTTCTTCTCCTCCGGATCCGCCGCCGCAGCGACCGATCCAACGCGTGGGGATGCAGCAGCTCCTGCACCCGCGCCGCCGACGAGGGTCTGCACGGCATCTGCCACGGTCTCCGCGCCCGTCTTCTGCAGATCTCCGCCCGCGACGGCGGCTTCGCGACGGCCTTGCTCCATCCGAGCCAGAAGCAAGCAGGAGAAGAGAGGGAGGCAGCAGTGGTGAGCGAGTAGGTGGGGTGGCCGGTGAGGGAGACGATGAGGCAGAGCAGAGAGGAGGGAGAGGGAGGCGATTTGGGGGAAATGGGGTGGGCGATGCGGCCGATGCCCGTTCCCCTCCTCTTATACTAGGGGGCTTTTTCTGGAAACTACCCACGAACACGTGCACGCGCACGACCGCGGGGAAACGCAACCGCCAGCGTATAATACACGTACACGCCTGGCGTACAATAGTACACGGGCCGGCGCGGGCTCATACAGGGCTCTACGACTGGTCTACGCGCGCTATACACCCACCTGAAATGACCATCGTGCCCCTCATTACGAACCGCCATCGACGCATCTGGACCGTCCTTGTGTTTTTCCCACTCGCGTTCAGCCCAGGGGGGGAGCACCGGAGCAGAAACGGGGCAGCACTAGTGGTAGTGTTTAACCCGTTGGAATGCGTCCTATTATTGACAATGTGAGTGGACCAAACTATAGACTTGGTGTTGCCGGCATGGGTTACTACGATGACAAGATTGCCATCGCTTGTTATCTTGAGCTGTGTTAGGTTAAGGTTGTGGTGGATGATGGGCTCCTCCCTATTAGCGACCCACACGGTGGTGAAAACCGGGATCTTATTGAACCATATGCCGAGGTACCAGCCTGAGCTTGGGGAGGTGGCATTGTGGGACGACTTACTGATGCTGCCCGCCGCAGCTGCTGGCTGGAAGAAGCCGAGGGCGAACTTGCCATTTCTGGAGACGAGCTTGCTGCCAACAGCGAGCGCTTGGCCTGCCGTCAGCTTGTCTCCATTTGCAGCTGCAGAGGAGCAGCAAGGAGGAGGATTGAGCAAGAGGAGAAGCCCGAGCAGTATGTGGAGGGGAGGCATTGAGGAGAAGAGTGTGGATGATTTGAAGACAAGAGGAGGTATGCATATATAGAATGGAAGTAGTATGTCTTCTGAAGACGCAGGAAGACTGAAGCTAGCACTACAAAGCTGGCGGAAGGGGAAGACTTATAGGGTCAATCATGTTCACATTGGGATAGCATTACACAAATACAAGGCACCATTAATCACCATAAATACTAGTATACTACAATGTGTAGGACTGCGAGAAGGACTTCCAATCAAGATTCCCCAAGCAATGAATCACGGCCGAGCTACTGGAAATTAGCAGGCGCTGCACATGCATTGCCAAGGTCCCATCCCAAGCAGGAGTACTGTGGCATTCATGGCCTACGTACTACAAGATCATTCAGCAGCTAGCTGAAGTATAGTCTAACCAAGGGCCGTCCTGAATTCGTCCGTGCCGCTGGCAATGGCAAACGAAGCTAGCAGTACACGGCCTCTGTAAGCAACATCGTGTGATCAGTGCGGAATTGCATCTCTCAAACATTCACACAGAGAACGCTGGTCTTGTGGTCTCCGGTAGGACACTCACGTCGAGAGGAAGAGGGTTCGAGGTTCGGGTGTGGGCCTTTTTCTGATTGACAGCTCGGATTAGACGGTGATCGAGCTGGAGATGGGGGGCGCCGCCGCCGGCGAGAAGTGCCGGAGGTGAGGACGACACATGGCTCGCTGCGGGTCATAGGCGTAGGAGAAGCAGGGGGGTCGCTGGGACGACATCAATGTGCCATTATGACTGGAACTACTCTATTTCTCAGTGTCAGAGTACGTTGTTGGCAGTTTGAGAGCTAAAATCTTTACCGGTCTGCATGGGCAGCACGTACTACTCCGAATTCGCTAAGACCGCGAAGACGTTGAATGAAATAATGGTAGCCCAGCTGTTGTGGTCAGAAGGACCGATATAGCAGACAGTAGCAGTACACTGTACACACACTTAATTTGATTGCCAAGGGACCAGTCATTTTAGGTCTCGACAGCTCACGCCACGTAGAGTATGTCCTACTGGGGCCTTTTTCACTCTTCTGACCTTACGAGGAAACTTTAGCACAAAATGAACTCCACACAAAACAATTTCACAATCTGACCCTTTTTAGAAACGTCAAAGGCCGTGGCGTTGCTGCACTGCACTATATGAAAACGCCGAACTAGCTAGCGTTGCTGGCCTGATCGAGATGCTACGTGACAGGGCTAAAACGCCAAAGTTTGTTGCGTTGTTGGAAACGCCAAGGGGGTGGGCGTTGCTGCCCAAGCATGCAATGCCAAGGATGGTTGGCGTTTCACCTAGCTTTTCATATTTTTCATTTATTTATGAAGTGAAGCAACGCTAGCTAGTTTGACGTTTCCAAATAGAGAAGAAACGCCACGGCTTGTGGCGTTACCAAAAGGGTCAGATTGTGAAATAATTTTGTGTGAAGTTCATTTCGTACTAAAGTTTTCTGAAAGGGTCAAAATAGTGAAACAAGCCTCCTACTGGAGACCCGTCTGAAATAAAGGATGCGTGGAGTTGCGATGTGGACTCGTCACACGCTCGTTGCCGTTGCATCAACTTCAATGATGCACTGCAACTGCAAGTTGCACTATTTTTAGTGGAGAAAATGATCGATGGATCAATAATTTGTATATGTGTAACAAAATGAGGAATGGTGGCTTGGCCAGTCTCATACGTATGATGAGTGCAATTTATGCAAGATGATCGTCAAGACTTCATGCAAAATTAGTACTCCCTCCATTTTTATATACAAGGCCACAATCAAAATTACAATTTGCAACTATACAAGGCCACAAACACTAATCGAGACAAAATTGATGGTGTTTGCCACATACTATCAAAGGAAGACATTAATTATCCCTTGCATGCATGTGAGTGTGAGAAGGTTGTCTTGCATGCGCCTCATTAATCAACCAAAAAGAGTGAGAGCATTGGCTTGTTGTAGGTGGAACAGAAAAATATGCATTAATTAACACGACAAACAAGAAGACAACCTAGCGTGCAATATTGACTTGAGCACACATTTACTTTTGCCTTGGTACCTGTAATATGTGTTCGTGGCCTTGTATACAGAAATGAAGGGAGTACAACAGAGATTTTGTTTTGAATTCTCGGGAAAAAAGATTTTGTTTGAACAATACACTAGTTCTGCTCAGCACATACACTGAACCAATAACACACACTGATGCATAACACAAATAATACACCATGCTAAAAAATTAACATATATACTCCCACCGTTCCTAAATATTTGTTCTTTTAGAGATTTCAAATGGACTACCACATACGAATGTATATGACATATTTAGAGTGTAGATTCACTCATTTTGCTCCATATGTAGTCACTTGTTGAAATCTTTAGAAAGATAAATATTTAGGAACAGAGGAAGTACAAGCAAGCAAAGACTATCGAGGGTATGTCGCGGATAATCACAACTCTTCATAAAGAGAACGCCCACTGTGGGCTAAGAGAATCTCTAAAAAATCCCTTATAAAGCTTTTGAAGAGTAAAAATAATAAGTTTTTCTCCTCTAAACTGCACCTAACCGATCTCTTATAACTTATAATATTTTGGGAAGTACTCTTACATATACTCGACCGCCCACCCGCAGAGTAAAATTTTCCCTTCCTCACCCCGGGCCACATCCACTCCGGCGCCGCCCTACTTCGCGCCATCGGCCACCACGCGCCACCGCCGACCCCTTGTAGCACCTACCGCACTCCTCCCTCTCCTCGATTCAGTCGATTCTCATCACCGATGCCTAAATCAACGGATGCCCGCTGCTTCTATTGCTGGATTCAATGCATCCAATCCTCGGCGCCATCCGTGTTGAAGGGAGTCAACGGGGACTGAACCGCACAACCACCACGACTGCTCCGTGTTGCCTCTTGGTGTGTCCTCGTTCTCTCAACGCTTACATTTCAACAGTTGACTGATTGCCAGCACAACCACGTCCGCTCGTCGGTAGGGCTCAGCCCTCGTCCTACCGGTTATCATGTGTGATCACTGCTAACAGCTGGTGTTGTGCCTCGTCTGGAGCATGCCCAAACATCCCTGATGGATTTTCTACAAGTGTGAAAAGGAAGGAGTGAGTGCCATTTTTGTACAGTTGTTCTTCACATTCGTCACAATATAAAACTCACTATTTGCTTAAAACTGTATGTGGCAAGGATGCAAGTTTTGGTATTGGAAAGAAGAGTGCATTCACCTATTGATAGCGAGAAATCTGCTACATATTGGTGCACTAGTTGCCAGAGATGAGACTAGAGAGGACACAATGTCCAAATTTGAGGTGGCAGAGAAGAAAGAAGTCTGCAAGCTCGAGAAACCAATAGAGAAAAGCAACAATGAGACAATGAAGAGATGATAAAGATCATTGATCAGACTAGTAGGAGCAGTTAAGGAAGTGGTGTTTCTTGTAGTTTTTCTTTGGATCGGTTCTCTTAGCGAAGAATTGGTAAAAGTATGTGATCAAGATGTCATTTAATAAAATAATTGAGTAGTGAAGTTTAACTCACTGACCAAAAAAATGAATTTGTGTTTATCTTTTTTGTAGTGAGTTAAGTTTAAGGATCGGTTAGAAACTACATTTTTTTAAGGGCGCTGATAGGCGCCGGTGCGCCGGCCGAAACGTTTCGGCCGGTCCAGCGCCAGCCGTTCGATCTGACTAACACGGAGGCTGCGTAACCGCTCGATCTGGACTGGGTCATCGTCTTCCTCGCCCCTTGCGAATCCCCCACTCCTCCTCCCCCGCCCGACTCACTACCCACCCCCCCTGCGCGCCGCCGCACCTCCTCCCCTGCTGCCGGCTCGCTGCCTCGCCGTCGTCGCCGCCGGTCGCCGCCCTCGCCGTTGGTCGCCGCCCTCACCTATGCCGCCTTCGTGCGTTTCTCCCCTCTGTGGATGCAGCAGCATGCGCCCATGGTTGCACCCCCGTGGCTTGCAGCTCCCGGGGAGATGGCCGCATCTCCGGTGGCACCGGCCGCCGGCCGCAGCACCTGTCGTTGTGCTCGCGTTGTACCTCGCCGTGTTCCCACTCGAGGCTCTTGCTAGTTCCAACAAAAAACGACACCGGTTGTAGCAAAAAAGTTTATCGCTTCCAGCAAAAAAAGCTTACCGCTGCAGCCCGCCGTCGTCATTGTAGCAAAATTGTTTACTGGATGTAGCTTCTGTGGTTGCTGATTGCAGCAAAAAAATGACGTGGTTGTAGCAAACACAAAAAGAACGAAAAAAGTTTTTATCGTTTTCAAAAAAGCTTCCACTGTGGTTTGGAAAAGCTTCAATCGTGTATAAAAAAGCTTCATCCGTTAAGAAAAAAAGCTTTAACCAGACCTGCGACCAGAGAAAAAGTTGCAAAACATTGACAAAAAAGCTTCAACCATATATAGAAAAAGCTTCAACCGTATATAGAAAAAGCTTCAACCGGCTACCGACGGTAGAAAAGCCGTGGTTGCAGCCCACGGTCACCTCGGTCATCGCCGTCACACACCCCGGTCTCCGCGCGGGGTTGCATCAGTGTGGCCGTGGTAGCACCCCGTCGCCCCCGGTTGCAGCATCTCCCGTGGTCACCCCATCCTCGGTCGCCGGCGAGATGGGATGGTCACCGCGCAGAGCCATGGCGAGCTTCGAGCGGGGAGAGGGGAGGCGTGGTGCGGCG